GCGTTCTTTGGGCAGCTCAGGAAAGGTTGGCGCCTTGCTGCCGTGCCAGTGCAACTCAAAGGAGTGGGCGGGCCCGGTGCCCCTCACGTCTTCAACTTTACGAGACGGTGCGACGTTCCAGGTGTTGCAGTCGCAAACACCTATTGGCCCGAGTTCGAAGCTGACCATCACGATGTGGTTCTGAGGACCGTTTTACAGCAACAAAGCCTAGGAGTTGACGGTTGTGTCAATATGAAGATGGGAATGTAATGTAAATAATGACAAGTTTCCTTTTCGCTTGGCCAAAGCGCACGCCACGATGCGAGAACTGTTTAGTTTTCAGCTTCACCAGTGTCACTGTTGTGGCCTGAATCCTTCGTTGATCCTAAAGCCACGCTACAATGATGCTATTGAAGCCGAAAGGGGCCAACATGTCCTGCATCTTCCCCCACTAAGGCCCAGATCACAAACGATTTGGTGGAAACATGTAAGCGACCACGAAGACTAGCAGCGTCGTACGTTTGTGTTGTCATTGTGTGGTCCTTTTCAGGACAAAAAGGTGGATGGCTGACTCAGAGTACAGCGCCACTTTCCTCTTTTTGCCACGCAGAGTCGCCTTGAGCAGAATGCCATTGGGGCTTCCAGCAGGTTCGAAAGCGAAAACTATCAACGACACTCGCTCTACCCTTCATGTTTGTTTGTTTCACCCACACATTTTGAAGCCCGCCCTGAAACACATGTCCTTCAAAAGCCTAGCTGTTCTTTGGCCCCTGCCCCCTGGCAGTCGTGGCAGAAAAACGTCCCATTGCTGAAGACTACAAGAGCCATTTGCAAAAGTTCTTGTCGCTACTTCGTGCGCCTGTGTACAAATTGGAGGAGGCGGCTGACTGAATCGAAGCCTGGTTGAACGGGACGTTGCCTCCCACTCCATTGCTGTCAATTGACGCGTGCTTTGGATCTTGAAGGCATGCGTTTACCTTTTTTTTCAAGTTAAAGCCAACCTGGCCAAAGGGGGTTGTTATGCGCAGCGCGTCTTTAGGTGCATGGTTGTGAGCGGCCCGAGATGTTCTGCTGCCAACAGCCAAGCTCGCATGAATGCTGATCCTTTCCTGGTCGACCCAAATGAACTGAAGCCACAAAGCTGAATCGAATAGTTTTACTTTGCAAACCATTGAACGTGAAGAGGATGTTCGCGAGGGACAGCCTTGTAAATGAATGGGACACTTGGAGGTTTCTGCCCCTTTTTCGCGGCAAGGCGTAGCGCTAGTTGCTAGTTAGTGTGCATACATTTAATATGCGTATATCGCTCTATGAGGGTGCTTCCCACACACAACTACGCTACTTCAGAGCGCAAATAATCGTGGCTTACTTCTGATAAGTATAATATCTATTGTTTATACATGTTTATACGCTTTCAGGTTCTATCTTGCACAGCCCTTCAGGCCTTCAGGTTCTAGAGCAGTGATGTCATTTTCATGTTTGTGCATCAACAACATTCAGACCAAGGCTATTGAAACCAGACAACTATATGCGAACCGTGTCGGCGCATGTCAAGAAAGCTCGTGAATCTATTGTTCTCCGAGCTGCTGCTCGGGCTTGGAGCTATGGTGTGCCATGGGCAGAGGCATTTGAAGTGGCAAGCGCCGCCGATAGAGCAGCTGGCGCAGCCATGCCACCCCCCCTTCGCAAAGGGAAGGGGGGCAAAGGTAAAGGTAAGAAAGGTGTGGGCCGCGGCAAAGGCCGGGGGCTAGCTGCGATAATTTGGCAAAAGCCAAAAGGTGCGGTCACGGCATTCACCAGAAAGGAAAAGCTTTCTGGCATCTTGCCGAGCCTTCTTACCTCCCAAGACAACTTCTGACACTGGACTGGTGTTGCTTGAGAAATTTGACCGCCAGCAAGTCTGTCCAACTGTTCCAACGGTGGATCGTTTTTTTTTGAAAAACAAGAAACATAAATATGCCCTATGTTGCTCGAAAGCACCAAAAAAAACCAGAGAGCCGAAACAAATACAAAAAACGCTAAAAAAAAAATCGCGAGAGTTTAGTTCCTTTTACAAGCTGTTGTGTTGTGAGAAAGATCGGTCACTTCTGGAGTGGTTTGCTTGCAGGTGTTGAGAGTGACTGATCCCAGGTGTGATCAGTCACTCCTGGATTGTTTTTTGGAGCGACGGGTGGGGAGTCACCGACTAACTACCAAGGGAAGCGCGCAGTAGCAGCGCCAAAAGTGACCGATCACACCTGCGATCAGTCACTTTTGAGCCTCCCTCGGCAATGTGCCCATTAGTGACCGATTTCCCGGTTCACTCAAAGAGGCGGATTTCAGATTCCAGAAGAGACGGATCCCATCAATCCAAGAGAGACGGATCACTTTCTGCTGTTACATTGTCATGTGGTTTTGGCAGAAGAGATGGGTTTCAGGCGCTAGCGCAGCGTTCTGGCGCAAATCCAAAACAATCCACGGCCTCATCAAGGGTTCCAGTGGAAGTAAAAAGTGACTGATCGCAGGTATGATCCGTCACTTGTGGACATTTGGAATCCGCCTCTTTTTGGAACTTTGGAATCCGTCTCTTCTGGAACTTTGGAATCCGTCTCTTTTGGAACTTTGGATGTGAGTGTGACTGAACTCCTTGGGTTTCTGGTAGAGCAGCAGTTGGCTGTGTCCTTGTCCCACCTTGATGCGGATTCAGCAAGGAAGCAAGAGTTGCGAAACGCGTTCTTGCACGGCTATTGTCCCAGAAAACTTTTTTTTCCTCAGACCTTGTGGATCACAGTGGTCGCCCTCCTCCCTTCACCGCTGCCATCATGGCGAAGCGGAAGTCTTCGAGCGGTGCGGACCCAAAGTCCAAGGCGGCCAAGCCTTCCACAGATGTTCGTCCTGCTGACCAGGCTTATGTGACTTGTGTAGTGTCTTGGTTGCTGGGCTGCGTAAGTCTATGCTGAAGGCGCCAGTTCTTCCGACCATACCACACCTCCCGCCCACTTGCAATTAGACAAATCAAGCGTTTGATGTGACCCAGGCTTCAAGACAAGGTCTTTCCAGCCGGAGGGCCTGACAAGTATCTGAGCCGTGAGTACGACACACAGGACCTGCATGGGTGAGATTACTTAGGTTGTAATGTGTGGTCAGGGGAGTTCTTGAAGTTATGAGTGGTTTGGATAGGAGAAGAAGCTGCAGTTTGCTGAGTGGATCAACGAGTACGCTAAAGCCGATCCCGCGCCTGGGGCCCAGTTTCAAAAGACCAGCTGGCGAGGGCAAACAATTGCTATTCCGCGCCATGTTTCATCCCATTTGCCAAACACTTGACGCAGGCTTGACTACGCGGTGAAGGCAGAAGGTGCACAAGTACTTCGACCATGGCAGTTGGCTTGGAGGGCTGATTTTGGTTGCAGTGGCTTTTTAGAGCCTGACCAATCATGCCTCATCGCTGAGCTCATGTTGGCAGAAGGGCACGCTGTCGCGGTCAGTTGAAGAGTCAAGGGATGAACGTGTTTTGCTTTGTGGGGTGGTTGAATGTGTGCAGAACGGGCGAGTTTGCAACGCATTGCATTTTGTGGGGTTGAGAAACAGGTAATAGGCGTTGAGAAATCACGGTGTTCATTTGAGAAATCAGTCTGTTTGTCACTGGGACAGGCTACGTACGGATCCCAACGTGCCTGGGGTGTCCAAGTTGTCAACCACAACCGTGCCTCGGGAGTTCTTGGACGCCGAGTATACGGAGTTGCCAAGCATTTTCGGAGGCCTGCGCGCAATTCAATCATTGTGTGTTGTGATGCTTCATGGTGTGTGAAGGGCGAAGTCCACATGTGACCCCACGCTCTCAAGTCTTGCGCTTTTATAGTGACGGGCCGGCAGGCGGAGCGCTCCTTCCTCCTTTCTCTGTGGGGTATTGCAAAGGATGGAAACGGGGCGTCATGGCCCTCATATGTCTACAGGCAGTGAAAGAGTTTGGCCTTGCTGACCGAATCCCTCATCATGTCCGTGTGCTTTGGAATCAAGCGGCAAGAGCTTGGGAAAGTTCTGTGTTTTGGAAACTGAGTGAGCTCCAGAGAAGATTATATGTTATATATATATATATGTTTTTCTTGTTGGTTTGCGGTGACCCATTGGTAGCCCGGTTTTTTTGGATTGCGGGTGTGTCTACCCGCTGAAAGTTGTTTGGGTTACGTGCGCTTCTGTAAGCTTCGGCGGGTATAGGAAGACGATTCCGCTGTTGATGGAAGAAGGGGGGGTAGGCATTATACGAGGTGAACACCAAAGCCAGTGCCCTACACCGGCGGTGGCCCATGCTAGGCATCTTTCAGCACTGTCCACATGGCGTTCACGAACGCGAAGGATGTGAGGGCGCAGGTCTACGCCAACCGAGGCCGCTTCGCTGTTTTAATTGCCCAATTCAATGTTTGTTGCGCAGGCGTTGGGTGCCACTGGGGTCATTTATTGCACGTTTGACAGTCCAATTTGAATAAATTTGGACCTTTCTCATTGTGTCCATTGCGCGCAAGCCTGCTATCCAACTTTGCAGGTTCTTCTTTGATGAACTCGGAGACCCAGCTGCGCTCAAACGCATTCCACTTCCGTCAAATCATAATCCTCCAACGGGCTGGTGGTGGGTCAGCAGAACGTCAGTTCTCAGTAGCTTGGCTACAGGGCAAGAATAGCTTTGCATTTAGCGTGTTCTTGCGTGTCCAGACCACTGTTGTATGATTGCCACACGTTTTTCTTAGTTTTCTTCTGACAGCAGAATGCATGACCCCATACTAGTGCATACTAGTGCCAATCCCTTACGCCGGCAGTTGTTGCTCCGCGCGTGGCTATTGATTTGGAGAAATGCTGTGAACTACCCTGTCCAGAATGTGCGTATGGAAACCGTATTCTTGAAATTCTTCTTGTAGATCTTGTAAGACACATTTCCTAGATTGGTTAGTTCAATCTTTTGTTCCGCCTGCAAGGAATGGGAGTCCGCGTCCAGCGTGGCACGGGCATTTGGGATTGGAAAGTTAGAGAGTGGCGCAGTCAGTGCGCTCATGACATCCATCGATCCTTCTGTCGCGGAGCAATTGACTGAAGCCGTACGATGCCGAGGGATGGCCAAGTTGTTGAGCCATGAGGTGATTTCCCGTGGCATGTTCAGCAAGTCGTGGACGTCTGGACTAGCCGCTGCTGAATCCTGGAAAGAAGTGCTGCGCAACAAAGAAGATGGTCGAATTGCATCTAGCCTAGATTCAAGACATGCATTGATAGATTGCCCACATCGATTTTTGAAGCAGTGACTGTCCATTCCAACCACGATTCTACGTAATGTTCATGAGCCTCTGACCTACGAAGAGACATAGATTGACCGGACTTAACGCGAAATGTGTCATAAGGTTTGGTCCTTGTCACGCCTCTCGTGTTTATGTCCACAACCTCTCTTGGTAATCCAGTTTCTTGGCACCTGAGTAGAAAGGTCATCGTAAATCTCCCGTGTTGTTTGTTCTATCCGCCTCTCGTGTTTATGTCCTCAGCCTCTCTTGGTAATCGAATTTCAAGGCAGCTGAGTAGAAAGTTCATCATAAATCTCCTGTGTTGAATGTTTGTTCTGTCCTTATGTCGGTCGTCCAAGTCTCTCCATGCTAGTGATCTGCTTGCTTCTGAGCCCGGATCCCTCGTCCATCTCTATTTTGCTTTTTGTCGCGCGCCAATCTTTTCGTGAAAGCGCTGTCCTGCCCGTTGTTTTTGGTCAAATATGTCTTATATATTATTTATGGACACGTTCCGCGAACTTGCGCTTGTATCTTCAATCCCCGTCCTCATGGCGATGAGTTAAACCCACCTGTCAATCCATTGCCTATACTCCCCACCGTCGTGTTCAACTTCGGTCGAAACAATCTGCTGTTTCAGTTGCTGCCTGCCCCCACCTTTTTGACATTTAGTGAATGTTTTTTTGGTGCAAGCTGCCGCTGTAAACTGCAATGATTGGTTAACTGTGAACTGCTCAAAACACAGGTTCAGGCAACACAGGTTTGAAAGTGGTTGATGATCTCGCATGGTGTCGCGCGCGTGTTTGTGAGTCGGCGATCACGCGATAACTTTGTAACGGTATATTAAACAACATATATAACCACATTTCGTGACTTCTTGATTTCAGATCAGAAAGCGGTTGTTCTTGTTCCACGGGTAAGAATCTACTGGAGGGTTGCTGCTTCTGCTGCTGCTGCCGCTGCTGCAAATTTTAAAGGCATGGGAAACTTGCTGTTTGCTTTTGGCAAGAGCTGTTTCAGGTGCAGTTATTTGTGGCTCGCCTGCTGGCCGACCACGATCGTTGTCTTCAGACCATGCGGAAGGCATTGACCTACAAGGATGCAGTTCCCAAGCATCAATGCTGTGGTATGTTTTGCCATTTGCTTGATTGTCTCGAGCGCAATGCCCCAGCGACGCAGTTCAAGGATATGCAGGATCGCCTTCACAAGATGTTCATGGAATCCTTTATGGACCCAGACCTGCTGCACATGGTGTCGTCTGAAGTCCCTCCTGGTGATTTGAAGACCGTAGCAGCATTCAGGCGTGGGGTTCGGCTCTTTCGCAGGAAGAATGCGGGGCTCGCAGCCCGCAACAAATACAATGAGTTAATCTTCTGACTTCTGTAGTGAGGCAGATGTGTGACAAGGTTTTGAGAAACGTGTTGAGTTGCCGAATCAAAATTGACAGTCGACAGGTTTATATCACAAATTCTTTCTCATGAGGTCAATATCAAGGCCAAGAGTGGGGCAGGGCTTCCAGACCAAGAATATCACTTTGACCTTGCCCTGCTATAGACTTCGTGACATTGTAGTAAGTAGGAAATTCCCGGGCAATTTTTGAACCGTTGCCGAATTCAAGATAGTAGCCACAATCCTTGTGTCATGTTTCCGCTTGTCGAGGCCTTTTCTGGCACAGCTCGAGACAATGGTCCGCGAGGCCAAGGAAGAGAAGGAGGCAGCCCTTGCCGCGACTGCCCGGGAAGCTGACCTGAACCGACTTCTTTCCAACTTGGAAAATGATTTCGAGCTGCTGCGAAGTCGTGTGGAGTCTTCTGGCAAGGAAGCCGAGGCGCATGCGTTGGACATGAAATACATACGAGAAAGACAGCAGCGCCTTGGCGTTTTGTTGTTTGAGGGCTGAGGGCCTTGCTGCTGAGAGCGCTTCAGTTCTTAGCTACTTGGGTTCTTTGATTCGTCCGGTGTCACCCAGGCACGGCAAACAGTACATCGATGTGTGGATGGCAAAGAAGTGCCATTTCAGCAGGACAGATGAACACTTTGACTCTGCGATTCCACAGTTTCTGAAGTTCAAGGAACAGTTTCGTTCCAAGGGCGGCGATGAGTGGCTTGGTAACATTTACCACCAAAATTAAAATTTCTTTGACCCTTATAGCGACAGTTTTCCATGGTCTAACGCACACGTTGAGCGTTCACGGGGTAGTTGTCGAAGTTGTGATGAGCCTGTTTTAATTTGTAGCTGAGATTTATGATTTGCTGTCTGGACGCGACCGTTTTTTCCGGCGAACGCCAGCTACATGAGCAACGCTAACAAGACCTTCTCTGCGTTGCTATCGATGACAAGCAACGCAGTCGGCATTGTTCTCATGCCTGTGTACCAAACACAGACGACTCCAGGTGCTCTTCTCAAACACAAACACCTATTGGAGACAAACCTCATGAACGCCGGGCTATCTACGCACCACACCATTCAGGTCTTGTTTGCGAAGCCAGATTCTTCGGCCAAGGATGCCAGGGCGCTTTGCCAAACAGCCATCGCTTGCTTTCACACTCACTTCTCAGAGCACGCTTTCACCAGCAGTGTGGCAATCCGCGAAGGGAAACTCGGCCCATGCAATCTGGCGAAGATCTCAGACTTTATCGGATATGATGGCGAGTTGTCGAAGCCGGGCGCTGCGGCTAGAGTAGAGCAGCTGCTTCGATTTGGCCCAGTACTTCATTTGCTTATGAAAACAGCGTAGGCAATCTTTTCCCCTCCTTGATGAATCCCGTTCCCCTTCAAAATTGCCTTCAAATCTATGCTGTTTTGGATTCGCTCGGCCGTCTTTAGTTTTCCAAGGCGCGGTGTTCTATGCCGTGATACTATGATTGCGGGCATTTTGGATGGCTTGACCCTGCGCGATGTGGACACAGTCTTGATGGTCGATGTCGTTCCGAACAGGCTTGATACTTTAAAGTTTTAAAGTTGGTGTTGAGTCTGTGATGCTGTTGGTGAAGTATAGGATGTCATACCGTCTGTCTCATACCAAAAACCATGAGCTTTCTTTGATGCAGGTTTGCGGAATTCGGACGCGCGACTGTGGAGCGGAACTTGCTTGAATCTGCCTTCCCAGTCCACTACTTTGGCTTTCTGTTCCAGGAGTTTGATGCAACCACTTCAGCCGTGAGGTCTCGAGTGTACGAGCATTGGGACAATTCTTCTACCAGTCCACCGAAAGAACGTCCTCGTGAAGAGAGGGCGGCAGAGGTCGCCTGCCCTCCTCTGGGAGCTTTGGCCTGGGCAGGGAAGCAGCCTGTCTTTCCACAGGTGTTGGTGGATCGCTTTCTGGAGGGGAGTGCAGAGCATGCTCAAATCATGGCAAAAAAAGAAGGAGTTCGATGCCATGTTTCCTGCTGCTGCGCAGCCTCCTCCAACAAGTGTGCCTGCAAGGGCCGGCGGCCTATGCGACTTTTCTGTCGATTCTGGCCGCGCGCCGCTTGATGTTAGCCGGTGCATCGATTTGCCATCGGTTTCAGTGGCTGACTTCGAGACAGTCAGAGTGCACCTTGTCAGCGCTATAGCCAGGGGTTTCGTTTCTTGAGGTCTAAATTAAGTGCCTCCAAAAGTTGCTTTGTTCTCGCTTTGACCAAACCTTCGTCAAAGGCGCGGGCAAATTTCGATGAGCGGTTCCAGACCAGCCATCGCCATTTCCAACGATTTCTCTGTTTGGTTGGGCAACACCAGCGATGCAGACTTGATGGTCCACGCTGGGGAGTTGTTCGGATTCGGCCTCGGCAACTTCAAAGCTGAAGTGGTGAGCAGCCACCTCAGACTGTCGTTGTTGCTAGGATACTTGCAGTCGTGTAGTTGGGTGTGGAATCGACTGATGAATTGGTCGGGGATTTGGCAAAGTAAACAAACAATCAGCCTTTCACTTTTGGTGCTGCTGTAGGTGATGCTAGTCGCGAGCTCCATGGCGTCGTTTGGCGCGTGGTGGATGACCTTCACTTTGTGGCTTACAACAAGAAGCTGCTTCCTGTGTGCCAGTTCCTCCGGATGTTGGCGGTAGACCACGGTCTTGGAGAGGTTGAGTTTGTCGACCACGTGCTCACGCAACGTGTGGTGAAGGCGCCGTGAGCTGCGTTTTTTTCCAGCGCGGGAATAAAAGCTTTGCAGCAAGCACCGTCTTGAGTGACATATTCTTTTTTTTTATTTGATGGTTTCTTTCTTTGAGAATCCACATTCGACTCACAAGTTGCCATCGTGTCTTTGAAAACGGCTAAAACGTGCAATGTGACTTCCTGCCGTGAAGGGACGGTGGGCTAAAACGGAGGCGCTTCTAGTGGGAAGGGGTGCGCAATGCTTGAGCGCCTGCCGAGAATCTGGCTATAGATATTGGTGGTCATTGGAAGAATCAACGATCGGGTTCTGTTTTTCTTTTCCAGCACAGAAGGGGGGGTGTGTTTTTTGTGACTACTTCCGCCAAGCCAATCCCGATCAATGAATCATGTAGAATGTCCGTCGTGTGCTTTGCTTTGGAAACTGCCTAGGGTGAAGGCGGTGGCGAATTGCCTGTTTGCTTCCGCTACCATGTCGGCCCGGTGAGCAGCAACAACACGAATGTCTTCAAGCTGAACGACCCTCCTGACTCATTCCGAGCTCAGACTTTGGGGGCGCTCTACAAAGGTTCTATGGACAAGATCATCAAGAATCAAAGGGCATCAGTGGTTTGGGAGGCCAAAACTCCTAGCTACAGCTACAATGTCTTTCGAGTTAAGTTACTGTAATGGGGTTGCGTGTCGTTATGAGGCGCAAAGCTGTTTTCAGAAGCAAATCTATATAATGAAGGGTTTTAATTTTGTGTCAGTCCTTTCTTGGCAGGTGAATTTTCAGGCTAGCCCGGGAAGAGTGATTGCTTTGAAGCCGAAAGTCTACCTTACGGCATCGCTTCACATCCCGAAGCATAGCTGGTGCAATATCAGCGCTGCGTGATTAGCTTTTTGAAATCGAGCGTTCACTGCCGGCACGATTTTGCTCGACCAACCCCACCGAGGAATGGGGCTGTGTGAGATGATATATTGATTTGGTGTTGGTGTCAGGTTAGAATATAGTCAAGCCTAGTCCCAAAGAAACAGTGTTTGCCAACATATGATACTGACTGTTTCTAAACAGACTCTTATATATATATATATACTAATGTACTACAGTAAAAATATACTGAACAGTGTGACCCGAAACTACAGAAGGCACCAAGACCGTGTTGCCGGAGCCCGCTAGAAGCTCATTCGTGTCCTTTTTTTTTGTGATTTATGGTTTGTTCCAAGGTATGTGTCCAATAGCTGTGTTCTTTCTGTTGGATGGCCTAGCGGGCGCCATTTGGGCAAGACCATTTTGCAGCTGGCAGTTCGATAGGACCAGTCACGGCTTTAGCAAAATCAGAATGCCACAGACAGAAGACATGTGGAAGTCAGGGTCAGTGTTTGGGGTTCTATTACTATTCCTGAATGCGCCGGCTGAATTCTGTTGTCTTCCTGCGCCTTTGCCTGTCAAGCTCTCAGTCATTGTCAAGTATCGTGCGTTTGCCACCTGAACTTGAGAGATGGTGGTGTTTGCCGCTGCAGACCAACTCTCCGGTGACTCTGGCTCCGAGAAGGATGGGTGTTTTTTTGACTGGTTTGGAAGCTCCGCTGATTAAATTAGCAAGCTTGCCAGCGGTTTTGTTTCCCAATGCCACCAACGTGCTTTTTATGTGTCGGATCTATTCAAGTCGCGCAGGATGATCGCACTGTTAGACCCAAGACAGCGCCGAAGCCAGCGCCAAAGTCAGCGCCGAAGTCAGTGCCGAAGGTTACTCCGAAAGCCAAATTGCATCCAACCTCAAAGGCGAAGGCTAAGGCGGCCAAGGTGTTGCCGAAGAAGAAACCCAACTCCGACCCGCCGCCAACCCAACTATCCCCCAAAGAGGAGGAGCCAGGCTCTGACACGGCTGCGCCGTCAAAGACTGAGCCTTCTGAGGGTGTCATGAAATGCCCTTCGGCCAAGAATTCATCGAACAAACGCTCAGCCGCTGAGATGGAAGGCGGAGGGCCGTTTTTTTTTCTACACTTGGCTCATCATGTGGGGTGCGATTTGTCACGCTAATGCAGTTTGTCATTCTGTGGCAGGTAAGCCGCTCAATGTGCGTGGGCCATATTTCTATAAGAACAACGGGTCATGGGGAGTGAATGTCAACGGCAAAGAAGTATGTCGCGCGCCGTGGCCGCAGTGGTTCTGATAGCCGACTTGTTGAGTTTGGAGCAAAACGCAAACTTTGAGACGTAATCAAAAAATGCACGCCTTGGGGAGCTGCAAGGCTGGTGGTGTGCGGTTTCTGCCCGAGAAGTCAAAAGAGATTGCGATGGTGGCGATTGACCTTCTTCGACAAGGGAAATCGATTGACGTAGCGAAGCAAACCATTGTCCTTTGGAGCGCATGCAAACACCCCGCTGGTGATTGTGATGTGTCAAGTCAAATGTAGAGAAGGCATAATTATACAATGTAGACTATAGAACAATAGTCAGTGTGCCCACCTGTCGATTTCCAAAACCAACATTGGTCTCTTACTGTGGGAGACTGACATAGTTCTTGGATTGCGGTCATCCGCGTGTCTTGGTACTTACTGTTGGCTGGCTTTTTGCTTCGGCCAAGGCGAGCATGCACAAGGCGCTGTTGGAGCAGGAGGCGCCAGGAGACAAGTCCACTGAGCAGTCTGAGCCTTCTGCGCCGGCAAAGGGAGCGGATGGAGCCAAAGAAGAGGCGGTGAAAGAACCACCGCAGCCGGAGGAAGAACGTGAGGGAGAGGAGGAGGAGGAACTCGAAGCTGACCAGGAAGTAGAAGCTCCGCCGGAAGACGTGGAGTAGATTTATGTTGAAGCCTTCCAATT